AAAAAAAAAAAACCACGGGTAAACCATGAACCGCGCTCGGCCCATGGCCGCGCGGTTAAAAAACGCTGTAGACGGTTAATACCGACTTCAAACAGGATGAATATCAACCTATTGATCCTTCCTCTCCCATTTCCACAAGTACATCAATTTGTGAAAGGTGAATGAATAGAGTATAAAAGTAGAGCAAAAGTCAGATCAGGTTAATACCAACCAAGAAGAATGCATTTGTTGAAACCGCAAAATATTTTGTAAGTATTGAGCGTCTCGACGGATTGAAATTAGTGCGGTCGGTGGGCGGACATATTGGACCAGGCCACATGAATTGAATGAATGCATTACAGCTATCTCTGGGGGCGGTTATTGTCAGGTCTTATGTCAGAGCATAGTCTTTAGTGCCCCCATATACAGAAGACGTGACCTCCGCAGTACTATTGCCATTACTACTGTCACCGACACAACAGTAAAGATTGTTTTCACACTACACTTCACGGTAATTCAACATGCACAACTTCACGAGGCGCAAACGAAGTTTCAGTGCCATTACTACTTTCACCAACACAACACTTGAGATCTTCTTCACACTACACTTCACCGTAATTTGACATGCACCACGAGGTGCATTTTTGTGTACCACGTCAACAACCTTATGCGATTTCGGGGGCACCCATGCAATACAGTGCAACGGATATTGAATATACCGGCACCTTGTTGTTTTCGATCAGACCGATTTGAATAGACTGTAGAATAACTAACCGTGAAAACCGTTCAAGCTTTCCTGAGTGTTTCCTTCGAACGTCAAGTACATCAGTCGTACACCTTTTACTGTCGAATCAGTTTTTTATAGTGGAACCCCGCCTTACAGCCATGCCGTTAATGCCGCCATCTCCGTCGTTATTACGACCACTTTATTCTTGCCCGCGAGCAAAACTCAGTCAGTCAATATTAAAGAACCCTTTTAATATAGTCACCCCGTTAATACAGCTAGATTTGATAAAAAAAAAGGGTTGTGATTGTTCGAACTTTCTTTGTGAAACTTTTTTGACCAAACTTTTCCTCATTTTTCGGCTCGCAAATGAGGCGATACTTGAGGCTATAGTTCGTCAGTTAACTTATGCTTTCTAACGCACGGCACGCAAACCAATATTAACTGATGTGAGGCAAAACTGAAACTGAGAAGAGGGTGAGAAAGTCTGCCAAGGGTAGAGTAGTCTTTGACCTACATTCATGGCGAAAACAACTAAAAAGTACTGTCAAATCTACGACCTTGGACCTTTGAAGCTAGCGACAAGAGCGGAAGTCATTCAAACGAAAGCATGATTCCGGTAGCTCCTGTTAAGTTCCTGTGTCTCAGTCGTGTTATTGTTGTTGTTTCAATTCATTGCTTCGTCTGACGTAGCTCAGGTGCGGCTATTAAATATTAGATACGCGGAAAATAACATAGAAAATGAGACTACCAAAAGCTGAACACGGCTCGCAAATTATTTGTTTTTATTTCGAATATTTGACCCTGTAGCGAGCAAACACAGTTGCAGTAGGTAAGTAAAACAGTCAGTTTAACATCGCGCCCAGGGTCTTCATGGCCCAGTTAGTAGCTACAGCATCGAACTCGTGTAACGGTTTTCACGGCTGAGTTATTTGGAGCAAAGATCATCAGGTGTGATTAGCGTTTTATGCGGTTTGCGCGGACTGACAAGACGAACATGGTGAAGAAGAAGGGAAGAATTAGCTTTTTGTGAATTGACTCAGCACGTTAGTATACGGCTCATGCATTCAGTTAGCTCCTGTAGGCACGCAGCGTATGCAATTGTAAAATTCGATCGAGAGTCTGACAGATTCTCCCAATGTTTTCTTGATTTAACCATTGGACGACGAGTTCGAGGTTGCTATCTTAGTTGGCGAGTAGTGAAGCCCCAGGCCTACTATATTAACTGAATAGACACCGAGAGCAAGCCTTCCAATTGTTCTAGCACAATCCACTTATCAATCGTTCAAATAGAACTCCATTAGTTTAGGAACTTCAAGAAAAACCGAAGTCGAACATGCTGCAGTCTATCGATCGTTGAACAGCGCCAGCGCAGCCAATTAGATAGCACGTTTAATTGATAGCTACAGTTAGTAGGTTATGCTGTCCATTGATAGAAGACCCATAAAACACGATTGCTTCGGCGTCTTTGTCAAAGGGAAATATGTTCTTGAATTTAAACTCAAAATGATCCACAAAATAATGGGTTTTGGACTGCGATCTCTGGTGTTCAAAGTTACCCATGAAATTTTTCAGCACCCCACCCCCACCAGGTTCGTTCCTTCCTCCCATGATCACCTCCTTTACTTGAACTTTCTCAGACAGTTATTTCAGTTCGCTCATTATCTAGTTACAAGTTTGGGAAGGGTGTATAGGAATTGTAGAAAACAATATGCTAAAATTTGACCTTGACAACTGATGCATGAGTAAATTTGTCCACAGGCTGAGATTTGACACTGCCTAATTAATTGACGTCAAAAACGACATCGTAACGAGTTTGAAGTTTGTTCTTCAGTACGTTGTGCCACCGGTGGGTACGTGATCAAAGCAAAGTGAATACGAAGTATGCGTTCCAGCCTTTCTAGACAACGACAAAACAGTCAAGGTGTTTATAGTCTCTTCCTCAATTTCTGCCGGAAACAACATAAAAACCATAACCGCGTTTCAAGTCTTTAAACTGTTTATGTATCTTATGTACCTATCAAATATATATGATGATCTCTTACTTACGCATCAAAACAAGATGGAACAACTCAACCATAGTCGTCAACAATAACGATAAAAACATCAATAAACGGAAAAGCTACCCTAAACTTAAATGTCATTCTGTTCTTATTCTCTCCAAGGAACACGACAAATAATCGATTCCTTCTCTACATCGAGAAACTTCATTTTAACCCGGCCATTACAAAGTAACCAGAGATGCACAAGTTAATCAGCAAAGACAATCTCAGCCGGCTGCTTCGCTTAACTCCTCTTATCTTAGTCATAGCTGGTTTTGTTTTAATACTAGTGGGTACCACTGCTTCGTCAAAAAGCTGCAAGATGACTGGTTCTGTGGTTGTAGCTGTCGGTGGATTGTTATTTCTTTTCTTGGCAGCCTGGAGTTCACGCCCAGACAAGTTTGTTGAAAACACAAAATGCGAAGAAGTTGGGATCGCATCAGAACTCTACGCCAATAGAACTGCCTTGAGCGCTGGCTCTAACGATCAGCTGGGACCGACTCATCACTTCGAAGTCAAAACACCGTCGGAATCTCAGTCTTGGAAAGGAATAATACCTCCTTCATACGAAGAAGCTGTTGACAATAATAGCGGTATAGGAAATTCGCAAACTAGCGCTGAAGTTGTACCAAGTGATGCGAAGTAATGGAGTGTGGACAACACGATTCCTGCACCGCCGTCTTACGAAGAAAGTCATGAAAATGCGAAGATATTTTCATAATTCTCCTTAATGGTTCTTATAAATTTACTGTAAATAAAGACGTCCTCCTTGGATATGAAAAACGTCTGGGAGTTCTACTAGGAGTTCAAAGAGATGACAATCTCAACTTTACTGAGCACATTAGCAAACTATGTACTAAGGCAACCAGAGTGTGGAGTACGCTCTCCTCTTCGAAACTTAATACCCTGCAAGGCTAAGCTACTACTGTATAAACCTTTTATACTGCCTTATTTAACTTACTGCCACCTAACCGGGCATTTTTGCAAGTCATCAGACAAAAGGAAGCTAGAACGAAGACAAGAACGAGCCCTAAGGGTGATATATAAATCCCACTCCGATACATATGAAGAACTTCTAAGACGTGCTGATATACCTTCTTTATATAATAGACGGCTTCAAGATATCACAGAACTTATGTACAAAGTCAAATATGGTCTTGTACCTGATTGCATGCGTTTCCGATCTATTTGTTTGCAAAGGCTCTACACACTCGCTGCGGAATAGTGACTTCGTATTACCACATTTTAGAACTATACGCCATGGCAAACACTCCGTTAGATATTTCGGGCCATACTTACGGTCTAAACTTACCGAAAATCAAAGAGATTCGCCTAGTTTACCTGTTTTTATAAAAAATAAGAAACTGAACCTTGCCGACATTTTAACTAAGAACAGCAATTGCTGTAATCTTTGTAGCCAATAGAATTATTTTAATTTTTACAATTTTATCTTGTACATAAACTAACATAGGATCTCTCATACTCGTTCAGTTTTTATCACTTTCCTGTAAATATTGAAATTTTATAAGTACGGTATATATATATGTCAATTAGTGTTGCTATTTTACTAATGTCCACAATTAGTCTATCTGGGCCAAACACATGGACACTGTGAAATAAAGGTTTTACTTACTCACTTACTTACTTTACGTTTACTCTGGGCCAGGACCGAAAAGGAGAGAAAACGTTGTGTGTATTACGGAAGTATCGCTGTTTATATCACAAGAAATTGCAACAAACTTGCTGATAAAGTAAATTATCAGAAACTCCTTAGCAGAACATTGTCATGAAGTTGGCAGATTCGGAAACTGGTCATAAAAAAGATATTTTTAGAGGGATTTTGGCTTGTTGACGGCTAAATAAGTTTAACGCTAGTGTAGAGAATCTGGTCTAGATTAGAATCTAACTGATTCAAACGGAAAGAAATATTCACAGAAAAATAATAAGCCATGTCGTCTGGCTAAGCTAGTATCATTTTGTAGTAACACGTATGCCCTTTTATACTCTATTGGTGTATTAAAAGCGGTCTTCAATGTTATATGCTGAATCTTTATAAAACATACAGTATAGTTAATTGCAATAATTATTGACTTATGTTCAGCCGGTTGACTTCATCGCAAATAGTGTTTCAGGGTTAAAAAATGTGCAGAGAATTCAATTATGTCACAGAAAAACTGAAATTGCGTCGGTTAGCGCTTCATGCAAATTTTATTTGTGTTTTCAATTCTTCAGTCAAAAATAGCGTTTTAATTAAGACTATGTATATCGTAACCTAATAGCAGCCCGATTGTTCCCACTATAAAATTAGCTGAACAAGTTATTAGATGGAGTTTTTTTTAGAAGGGAATATATTTGTCCTTATTCATCACTATATTTAGGTGGCTGGGACCCTTATATGGGCTATATAGGTATGTACGGCCCCAAAGGGTATGGTTTTTCGGTCGTTTTGGTGGTAAATAGGGTGTGGTTTTTACACTGTAGTCTTGAATGGGGAATGTTTTTTAGAAGAATAATTTACGAAGCTACTTTTTTTTATCATTATCGATAAGACCGATCAACAATAGCCCTTCACGATGCTTTTGACATCGGTCTCAACCATGGAACAAAGTATATGGCAGTTCCAGGAGGGACTCCTGAGCAGTTCTGAAACGGGGCATTGATTTAGGGTCAGGTCATAAATAGGGTGTCAAAGTTTTGGTCAGGTCATTACTGATAGCGTAGGATAACTCGCAGATTTTGGTCGTAAATAAACTACTGACCACGGAAAAGTTCGTAGTTCAAAGAAGCCGAAGGGCGCCGCCAAGTATGATCTACACCACACGTGAGAACACACTTGACCTATGGGAATGGAAGCCAACTGAAAGCGATATGCAGCGTTGCTACAATTCTGATGAACGGGCCTATAAACAACTTGCTTGAATTTTATTTTCATAGACAGCCTAAACAACAGCTTTTCATATCATCCGACACCAAATGCTCTTCTGCAAATTACAAACCAGCTGCTGTTTCAAGTTTCAACCAGGTCATTTCTTTGCATCCGTAAACAAAAACCGATAATGTCATTCGTTTCTCAGAAACCCGTGATATCAGTGAAAGTTAAATTTATGTAGGAAGGATATCTTTTAGCAGTTTCTGCCCAAGTGACTTGAACATGTTTGACACGGGCTTGGTATAGTCAATTAGACGGTGCCTGGTTCATAAACCAATGGAGGAAAACTCTCGTAGTCTGACTATTCGTTAATAAGATCAGTTTTATCACATCGTGATCGTAATCGGCTCACCTCAAAATATGTCGGTTACCTCCTCCCCCCGGCCTCCCACCACCACCACCAATATTTCAGCCCTGTCATTGTATTGCCATAGAGTTTGTTAAGATCGTATAGGCATTACAGAACAAATTTGCTAAATCCTTACCTTGCAGTTGATGAATGACTAGTCTTGTCTTCATGCCGAGCTTACACTGCTTAAGTTCTTCATTGACTTGAGCGAGTTTGAATTTTCTGTGTCACTATATGTTTGGGCACGCGCTGAAGACAGAGTGTCAAATACTGATCCCACTAATTCTAGACAACGACAAAACAGTGCAAGTGTCTATAGTTTGTAGCTTGTCTCTAGCCGCAAGCAACATAGAAACCATAACCGCGTTTCAAGTTTTAAAACTGTTTATGTATAATTCAGACCTATCCAAGAAACTATAATCATCTCTTATGCATGACAGCTAGACGCAACTAATCAACGATACACGTCACTATTACTCTTAATTTGATTGATATTATTTTGCTCTTATTCTCTCGAAGGAACAAGACAAATAGTCTCCTCTCTGCATCGAGCAATAACTTCATTTTAACCCGGCCATCACTGAGCAACCAAAGATGCACAGGTCAACCAGCAAAGACAAACTCAGCCGACTGCTCCTCTTAACTCCTCTTAACTCCTCTTATCTTAGTCATAGGTGGTTCTGTTTTAATATTAGTGGGTAACACTGTTTCCTTAAAAAGCTGCAAAATTGCTGGTCCTGTGGCTGTAGCTAACGGTGGATTGTTACTACTTTTCATCACAGTCTTAGAGAGTTTACGCCAAGACAAGCTCGTTATCACAGGTTTGAACACCTCGTCACCCGTTGAAAGGTCTCTGACCGCTGCCACGTCGCATATCTCGCCTGCGTCAGTAGTGCTCGAGTGTTGACAAAATTTGTCAAAATTGACCAATCAAAGAAACAGACCATGACTGGGAGAAACTTTTGCACATCTCTGATCATAGCTGACAGTTGAAATTGAGTTTGACCAATTCTCCAAATCACATGTAGATTAAATTTCCTTGCGGGGGTGGGGCGCCCAGCCGTTGTTCTGAACTTCGTTGGGTAGAATTCAAAGAGAGGACAAATTGTACGAAGATTTAAAATTAAACTACATGTAAACACTGTCGCGTGTTCTTTAGGTAGGATTTTACGCTTCACTTGTTTAACGTTCCGAGAGCGACACTTTCATACGATGGAGGAGAAAGATTCGTATCCGTCTCTTGTTCTTCATTTATGTAACATGGAGGAGCTACCCATTGCGTCTGCGTAGTAATAATAATAATAAACGAATCTTTAGACAGGATTGACCCATCAGTACTATAAAGTATTGTTATCAAAGGGGTCCTGTAAGATTTAAAAATTTAAAAATTTAAAAAAGGTAAAAAGTTAAAAAGGCAAAACTAATACATTGGGAAACATATAAAAACTCACGATTAAAAATTACAAATAAAAATGTTCGTTGGCCTTTTGCCTAAATAAAAGCCTAGAGTTCAGAGTTCTTAT